GGGCCTGAAACTCATGAAATTTCAATTTTCATTTTTCAAATTTGTTGATAGATATTTTTAAAATCTGTTACAAAAAATTGATGTTTCACAAGTGTTGGATATGAACCTTTTCATATCACGTTAAGTGCGGGAAGAATCGCATTTGCATATTCTCTGGCGCAGGATGCGGTCGATTAGCGGCTGTGAAATCACGAGGGCGATCGCAAGCTCTCGTACACGCGGCTGGCCAACAATTCATTACTCTGTCAGTTAAAAAGTAGGATACCTCGAGAACTAACCCTCGCGGTTTCCTTTACGGTTTTCCTGCTTATATTTCAAAGTTAGCCTCCCGTTACCACTTACTCCAGAAGAAGTTTTAACGACCGCAGCGCCAACGGTTTTACGGCCCAACTAATGGCGCGCGATTTGAATCCGCGACTGACGCGCCCCTAGAGGTGCCTGCTCGATATTTGGAGGAAGAAATTGGAGCAGAGCATTAAGGTGAAGTGAAACCTTCTCAAATCGGCCGTTTCGAATAAGGCACTTCTTTTTAAGGCGATGTGAAAGTGGCATCCGAAAGCTCAATCGTTCATAAAACTTTTCTCCGAACTGGGTGTCTCAAAATAATTCATACCTTAAAACGTGAATATGGAGACCCTAATATAGGTCCTGAAACTCGCGGAATTTCATTTTTTATATATATATTTTTTTATATGTATAAATTTTTTATATATATAAAACGAACGTCTACAACGTAGGTATTTAGAAAAATCTGTTTTACCGACGTCGATCATGTTTTACTTCACCTTAACGACTTCTACGTCAGAGAACTGATAATTATGCCGATTATAGAATACCTCGCGATAACGACATAAATGAAATAAATCCCATCGAGTGATAAGCTTCGAACTTTTGTACTTCTCCAGTTTATACCCGCGAAGGAAACGTGTAGGAAAAACACGGAAAACATAACGAGCTTGTTATACAATGTACTAACTCGTAGTTGCGACTATATGAGTAAAGACGATCCGTAACGACCGCTCTTGTGGGTTTTATGGGATTCCATTTTTATTCGACGCGTTACGGACGAAACGAGCTTTTTGTTTGTTGTATAACCTCGAAGGTGTTGCATTACGTCATGGAATCGTTTCTAAGGTCCTTAAGGTGATATGAAAGCGTGATATAGACATAACAAAAAGTCAAAATATAGATGAAACTTTTCCCCAAACTGGGTGCACCGAATTATCGGAAACTTTAACGCGTGATTATGGCGGCTCTTAGGAATAACGCTCATGGAATTTCTTTTTTCGAAAAAAATGTTCTACTCCTCTCGGACAAGAATCAAAATAAGATTTTCTTTTTTTCTTTCGAAAAATGAAATTTCACGAACATGACATTGTACCTCAGGGCCTCCATAATGACATACTAAAGTTTCTAATGATTCGGTGCACCCAGTTTAGAGAAAAGTTTTATAAATATATATATATAGATTGACTCTTTCATAATACCTTAAGATGATATGAAAGGGTCGTTATATATATAGAATGACCCTTCCATAACACCTTAAGGTCGTGAAACCACCGTTTGCTCGTGAATTTTATTAAAAAAAAAAAAATGTTATTTATCCTAAACCAGAACCAAGATCACATTTCTTTTTTTTTGTGAAAAATGATATTTCACGAGCATCGGGCAATTCCTTAGGGCCTCCATAATCACATGCTGAAGTTTCCAATTATTCGGTGCACCCAATTAGGAGAACAGTTTTATAAATATTTTCACGTTTTATGTATATAGAATGATCCTTTCATATCACCTTAAGATGATATGAAAGGGTTATTATATATATAGAATGACCCTTTCATATCACCTTAATGTCGTGAAACCACTGTATACTTGTGCAATTTCATTAAAAAAAAAAAAAAAATGTTACTTATTCTAAACTAGAACCAAGATCACATTTTTTTTATTGTGAAAAATGAAATTTCACAAGCATCGGGTAATTCCTTAGAGCCTCCATAATCACGTGCTGATGTCTCCAATTATTCGGTGCACCCAGTTTGGAGAAAAGTTTTATAAATATTTTCACGGTTTATGTATTGAATTCGCAACTAAATAATTGCGGATTTTGTCGATAGATGGTATTAAAAAATCGGCAATCACTTAGTTGCCAACCCAATATATAGAATGACCCTTTCATATCACCTTAATACCGTGTTAATTCGGACTTGAACCGAAAAATAATATAATATAGTATTAAAAGAGAGTACTTACAGGTTCCTTCTCCGTCGGTGTCCACTCTCCAGCAATATCCAGGATTGATCAATTTTTTCGAAGCCGTGGCAGGATACTTCCATCGCAAAGGTTTGCTGTTGAGAGCTTCGTGATCGGATTCAGCTCGATCTGTCTCTATGTTCACCGGACTCTGCCTTGAACCCGCCGCCATCGGGAATTTATAAACCCACGTACTGGGACCTGAAAATGAGAGCATTGTTCAAAATTAATTACTCTTTCTGGCCGCAAAAAAATCCCGCAAAAAAAGTGCAATGTCACGTGTCAATTAACCGAAAGCGATGTCGAAATAGCGTTCTACTTATTCTATTAATTTCTGGCTACGTTATTATTCACGTAATGAATCCACGTACTGGGACCTGAAAATGAGAGTAATGTTCAAAATCAATTACTTTTTCTGGCTGCAGAAAATACTGCAAACAGATGTCAATGTCACGTGTCAATTAATCGAAAGCGATGTCGAAATCACGTTCTACTTATTCTATTAATTTCCGACTACGTTATTATCACGCCATGAATTTTTAAAGTCTGACTTTTATATTTTTTTTTTATTCCCTTAAGGTGACGTGAAACTGGTTTAGAGGTCTCGTTTATTAAACTTTTCTCCGTACTAGGTGCACCGAATCGATTCAAACTGTACAATATAAATATGGAGGGTATAAGGAAGGGCCTGAAACTCATGAAATTTCAATTTTCATTTTTCAAATTTGTTGATAGATATTTTTAAAATCTGTTACAAAAAATTGATGTTTCACAAGTGTCAGGACCTTCCTAANCAGGGTATGTACCTTGCCTTATTAACGCACATGCTCTGCAATTTACAACTTGATGTTTAGTCCTGGACAATGAAATGCGATATAATAATTATATTGTGTCTTTTTAATTAAATAGAATGCTCGATGCTTTTTAATAGCCTCTATATTCACGCTGTGAAGTTTGATATATATATCGAACCAAGCGTCACTCTCTCTATATATAAATATATATAGAGATATAACTATACATATGGTGACGCTTTCATGTCACCTTAACTGTTTATAATTAAAAATATGTATGTACACGATTAAATACTTATTTCGAAATTCAAGTGTATGTAACTTAAACCTGAGACAATATTTACTTTGTTGGAGTACGTAAGAATTTCACATTACTCATTCGGTCTGTACTATTTTTGAGGTTAAGGCATGAACTTATCGTTCCCGCAATGATAACGTGCCTCGTCTGGAACTTGTGTCGTCACAATGAGTGAATGTCTGCGTAAGCAAAGACGAGTACGCTTTCTTGATAGCGGTTTTATAAGATAGTGTATTTAACTTGCGGTCTCAACATCGCTGATCTCGATTCCGCTCCGATGACAATTCATTCAATGAGATTCCCTGATTCGTCATGTGACGCCTCGCGACATAATCCATTACTTCTATCGAAAACTACGCTATGGCTTGACAATTTGCAAGAAACAATAACTAAGAGGTCACTGCTTTAGTTTTCTTTTGTGGCGATCACGTGATAAGTCCCACGGTATCGCCTTAACCCTTTGAGCGCTGTCGACGCATATGTGCGTTCGACGTTTGGCCCAATATCGCGCGCACGGTCTAAGGAAATTCGCCCGTATGTCGAAAGTGCTTAGCGCTCAAAGGGTTAATATCTATCTTCGTTTCATTGTTTCTCTTTTCACTACCGAGGTGTTTATTCTTAGTGGTAATTTTGCAAGTAATGCTTTTTATATATATATATATAAACAATAACTAAGGTCAGAGCTTTAATTTCCTTATATGGTGTTCACGTATTAAATCTCACGAATTCGTCTAAAAATCTACCATTGGTTCTTTTTTTTTACTGCCGAGGCGCTTATTCTTGTGATGTCTGTGTGATGTGTCAAGGTTTCGGACAGTTGGTCTAATATCCTTAAAAAAAAAGTGTTGTATTCGAATCGACTGATTTGAAGCTGATTTGAATTTTCACCTTAAGGTGAAGTGAAACCCGTCGAGGAACTTGATCGACGTCGATAAAGAAAATTTTTCTAAATGTGTATGTTGCCGACGTTCATTTTTGTATTGACAGCTGTGTCGAATTATATTGGATATTGTACCAAATAGCATACTCCACCTGTTGTTTTCATACAATAATTATAAAGAAATCGAAGTAAAACTCCAGAAATCCTCTGGATTTATGCTTTCCGGGGCCCTAATTGACTGCAGAGGGACCCCCTGCGCCATCTGTGATTTCCAGGTCAATTAAATGTTCACTCCTAGACCTCGTATTATCATCGTTTTGGCATAGAAGCGCATACAACACTTTGTTTGCCTTTATCCCGTTGAAATGCGAGTTTATCGACTACCAGAGTATTCTAAATTGTCGTAAAATTGTCCTGACCCTTTCGTTTCTCATATCAGAGCCTTCGATAATTGTATATCGATCGAAATATGAGAGCTCGACGCCATTTTGGTTTTGGACTGGGCTAAATTAATCAATTTTTTCCAAAAATCCAAATTTTGAATGTGTCAGGACAATTCTTAGACGATCAGAAGTGATGTGTCAAAGTTTCGGACAGTTTGGTCTAATATCCTTAAAAAAAAAGTGTTGTATTCGAATCGACTGATTTGAAGGGGGTTTCACTTCACCTTAAGCGCAGTTCCGATTCGTTTCATCTGCGTCGCGTTGACGCGCCGCGTTCTGTGGGACCCCAACCGTGCACGCGACTCCGATTGCGCTCTCCCTTGTTGTGCACAGACAAACACCCTCGAAACGACTGTTTGTCGTAAGTAAAGACGCCCAAAACGCGCATGTATGCATCTGGCTTTGTGCAGCATCTCCGTCGCCCGCGTTTTCGCTGAAAAATCGAAGGCTCGTCACGTGACACCCGTGACATAACCCTCCGGTTGAACCGAATCCGCCAGTTCGTCCCGACTTATGCGTACAATAAAAGCCTCGTGAACCAGAGGTCACCGATTTGCATGCACTCCTTTCTACAGCTAGTTCTAACCGCGTAACGAGCGTCACAGACCTCTATCCGAGGTTGGGCAATTAATTCAACGAGGCGTTCATTCTTCGAGAATGACAACACGCAGGAAAAAGAATTCCCTTCCGTGACATGAAATTTTATTTGCTTCGATAAATGTGCCCATAATTATGAAAGTGGTCTGTCAAAATTAAAAAAAAAAAAATGAGTTTATCAGTTATTTCACGCCATATTATTTCAAACGAAATTAATTCAATGTAATTTCGAAACTAAAAATATATGACAGACCACTTTCATAATTATGGGCACAAATGTGAACGCTTGAAAATGGAGTAGCAACTATTTTTGTTATATTCGGAAGAAAAAAAAAACGATTACTCTCCCGAGATAACATAAATTCTATTCAAGGTTACCATATTCTTTTGTAGCAACAACAAATTATCGCTTGTTTGTCTGAATAGTTTGAATAATACAACAATATCTTTTTGCACGTTCCTGTAGATTCATTTGTTGATTCAGGAAGTATTTTTTTTAAAGAAACCTCTCCATTGATTACATCTACATTCGATATAGTTGCAAACATGTTTGCTGTCGGTACGCAGGAAAATAATTCCCTTTCATGACATGAAATTTTACTTGCTTCGATAAATGTGAACGCTTGACAATGAACTAGCAACTATTTTTGTTATATTAAAAAGAAAAAAGATGATTATTTTCCCGAGAGAGCATACATTTCATTCAAGTTTAACATATTATTTTCTATCAACAACAAATTATCGCTTGTTTGTCTGAATAGTTTGAATAATACAACATTATCTTTTTGCCCGTTCCTGCGGATTCATTTTCTAATTTGGGAAGCATTTTTTAATGATTATATTATGTTTCCCTAATTAAATAGAATGCTCGACGCTGTTTAATAATATCCGACGGAATTTAGTTACACTGTGTATAACTTGTCTTATCAACGCATATGCTCTGCAATTTACAACTTAATGTTTAGTACTGGACAATAAAATGCGATATGACTATATTATGTCTTTTTAATTAAATAAAATGCTCGATGCTTTTTAACAATATCTAACGAGATTTAATTACAGGGTATGTACCTTGCCTTATTAACGCACATGCTCTGCAATTTACAACTTGATGTTTAGTCCTGGACAATGAAATGCGATATAATAATTATATTATATCCTCCTCCGAGATCGATTTACTTAATACATACTGATAAAGATGTTACGTACTACAAAGCGTACAATCACGTGCCTGCTAGAAATAGTATCAATTCTAGATACTTAACTCCTTTAGCGTTAAAGGCTTACGTCGTTATCTCCTGCTTATCGTCTGCTTGCCACTACAGATTGATGATTCAAGACCATGTGCGGTCAATTATCACTTTTACTGTCAATGCAAATGTCGAGTGGCGACATGTGGCTTGCAACTCGGTAAACTATTACTCACTGACGATTTTTCCGCGATCTCTTTGTCTTACCCCGTATACATATAGGCGCCATATATAAATAAAAATATATTCCTGCAATAATCCTCGTATAAATGAATTGTTATCACGCTATCGCAAAACTTTTGAAATGACGTTATATCATCGATCGACTTTCCAATTCTCCGAATTCCTAGGACGAGACTAAAATTTGAAATTTACCCGGAAAGTATTTCCAAATCTTTTGTAAAGTCTCCCATCAAGTTATTAAATATTGCAAAAAACGCTGTAGCGACAATAACCATTTTTTTTTTTTTCCAGTAAATTCAATCAAGACGAAATCGTATTTCATTCTTGCCGCGTTACTAAGTGTTTAATTTAAATTAAAAACCAAGGTTGCCATTTTCGTATATTGTAGTATGAGAGAAAACAATTAAACCGGCGACATTAATTAACTGCTCGTAAGGAGCTGGAAGTAATTGAAGAGGTGATGAATGATACTTTTATCCGAGGCGTATTTCAGACCTTGGCCATGGAAGTACCAAGTATTTTAGATAAAAGAAACTGTCGTATCTTGAGCAAAGAATCGTTTCTGCTGCAAACGGATAATTGTTTTCTTTGTGACAAGAACGATCGCTACGTGTTCTTCGGCCACCTTTACGCAACGAGAGAAGACGAAGAGAAATAAACCGATGTGTTTTAACACTTAAATTGTTCCTTTCCATTTCTTTATGCGAAATAAGCGACCATTGTCCATATACAAAGAAACCTATCCTCTATAGTTAA